GTTTAGTAACCTCATGAATTCTTATCGGTTAGTCAGATATTCTATAGTCCCCAAGGGCAGGACTGGCAGCCAGTGCACTCTGGCCTCACTCCCAAGGAACCTCCTGCCACTCCATACTGCTGCCTCTGATACCAGGCGGGAGCTGGTCCATGAGGAGAGCCAGTTTAAAAACCATCGTCCCTTGTGGACTGGCTGCCTGTCAAAGGCAGCAGCACAGGGTAATAGAGGCAGCAGCACGGGATGGCAGCAGCCCCTGTCTGGTTGGGGGTTGAGCTCCCGGACCCAGTATAAGCTAGAACTGAGCTGGGCTGCCTGGCTGCCCATCTCCTAATACACTTTAAGTGCAGAGCCACAGTTGGGATAGGTCCCAGACTCCCACGTGAGTCAGGACTGAGCCATGCTGCTGGCCAGCCTGCTAAAGATGTACTTGGGAAAGGGGGGGAAATGCATGTAGTTTATAGCATTAACCTATAAGCTTTTGCTTATTGGTTAATCGACTACACTATTACATCCTTACTGAGGACTGACTGCTGATATTGGCCAGACGGCAGCACACAAAATTAATAAGCAGTTGGGAAATACTTTGGTTAGATGTACCCGGCCCTGGTTACAAAAACAAACATAGCTGCTACTATCTGCAAATCTAACCGTATATATGTAACCTTACGTCTGATTCTCCACAGCTACCCAGTTGGGTCAACTGTTTGGTTATGTGACTGAACAGGGAATGACTGCCTCATTGCTCTCTCTATTTTATTTATCTTTTGGGGCGTAATGTAGCACAGTACCATCTGTCTCAGAAGCACTTGAGAGAGATTATGATATTATAACCACTTTCATTGCTAAATTTGTTATGGAAAATTAATTTAGAAGTTGGAGAAATGTGTTACTGTTAACTTTTTTTTTCTAGCGAGGCTAATGGTAATATTGTATAATGGCAGGATTTTCTTTCAGTTGAAGCACTTTTTATGAAGTGCATACCTTAGAAAAGAATAAGATGTTTTTAGGGGTACTGGTTTTAATCTCTTAGTCATATGGAATGTTGTTGTATATTATGTGTGTGTAATATTGTACATAACTTGACAGAGTTACAGAAAAGTTCTTTTAGTTGTAGTTGAGGTTTTATGATTGGATATTTATCTCTCTCTAAGATTTTTGTAGACTAGGTGTGTCAGAATGTAGGCTACTTGTAGTTGAATGTATATTCTCGTGTACATGCTAATTTCAAATTTGTTGGGCTTTAAGAATTTTGGAGTCACTTAGTTTTTGTGATGTGGCTATTTGCACGTGCAGAACATTTCTTGACCTTTCTTTTTTTCACAGGCATGGTCTTGGTACGTAGCGAAAATGGACAGTTACTGATGATCCCTCAACAAGCCTTGGCACAAATGCAGGCACATGCCCAGTCCCAGCCTCAAAATACCATGACTCCTCGTCCTGCAACACCTACCAGTGCCCCCCCAGTACAGATATCAACAGTGCCGGTGAGTTGATGATAATTTTCCTACACATATAAATTAATAAATTATTTTCCTTAAATATTTGTCTCTGCACTTAGTCACTAGGAAAATGAGGGACTACTAATCCTGGGTTTTGGCAGTAATAGGTCAAGGCAGTGCTGTTATAAGCATCACCGTACAGCACTAGCACAGTGCATCCCATTTGTGTTTGACTGTTTTTCACTGAAACTGATGTTCACTTCAGTTGAATGGCAGTAAACTTAAAACTGATCAAGAGAGAGACTTTTAGACTATGAGGCTCATTGCCATAATAAATCAACTTAGTATGATTTTGTGAATTTAAGAACCAAGAACTTAGTATGATTTTGTTTGATGCTGAAAAGGGTTAGATATTACTGTGTATGTGACCATCATGGTTGTGTTAAATAGGGTGTAAAAATCCTACAGGCAGATTGTTCTAAAATAGTCCTTGCACTTTCTTCCGAAATATCTTCTACTGGCTGCTATCAGAGGTAAGTTACTGGACTAGATGAACCATTCCTCTGATCTTATATTGCACTTACGTTCAAACTTGAACATAATTCGGATTCTTTTGCAGGCTCCTGGAACACCTATAATTGCACGGCAGGTGACACCAACTACTATAATCAAGCAGGTGTCTCAGGCTCAGACAACTGTACAGCCTACGACAACATTACAGCGTCCTCCTGTAGTGCAGGTGAATTTGTAGAAACGTAGATATGAACAATGAAAATATGAATTGTTAAAATAACTTGGAGTAAAATACTGTTTGGGATTATCATCTCTGGGTGAGCTCTGAGTACATAGAACACTTTTCCATTCCCTAAAATGTCTGGTAGTTTATGATTATCTCAGATTTTGGACCTCCGCTACTCAGCAACATTCCTTTCAAAGTCAGCTTTGTTTTTGAAAAGCCTGTGTTTGTTTAAAGAACCCCTTATGTCTCCCCCCAAAGGAACAGACACAAATTTCCCTTTTGATTTGAAACGCTCTTCAATGCTATAGGACTATAGTTCCATTATTGTCTTCGTTTTAAGCTTTTTAAAGGGTCCTCATTATGAACTTCCTCCTACCCTATAATTCCTCTTAAAGGAATGGTATGGAAAGATTAATCTCCCGCCTCCAGGTCTTCTGCTTTGCTTTGTATATCCACAGGAATTCAACGTACTCAAGGATGTATTATGGACATGGTGCCTCCTCAGCTTGGGGACTCTGTCCTTATGAACAGTTCTGACTAATAGGGTCAGCCACATTTTCTATTCACACCACCAAGAAAATCTGGAAGTAGGGACTGGAGTTGGAGTGTTACATGCAACACTGATATCATCTGATTCCTACACTTTTTTTTTTTTTTTAATGCTTTCTTTCCTCTTTAAGCTGATGACAGATGAGTCATTGAAAGGTTTCCTTAAAAGTTCCTCTTCTTTCCATTGAGCACCAAGTGCATTGTTCTTGTTCTCCTTTAATCTAGTTCTAGTCTATACTGAAGGGGAAGACTGTGCACTGACCTATCCAGAATTGAGCCCTGCTTTATGCAATAGTGCCTCCCTCATTTTCACTACTCTTGTGCTAGATGAGCAAATTCACTTTGTCTGTCTTGCCTTTTGGAGTGAACACACAATGGTAACACACTTTGCTTTTCTCTTTTCCTAACAGCAGTGTAAATTGGGTAATCCTCCTCTTCTTCCCCAAAAAACAATAAAATGTTGCTTTGAAAAGTCTAGTGTGCCTTCTGTTGTGTACCTTGTATTAGTTCAGAAGAGTAGCTTTAGGAATGGACTATTAATGCAAGTGCTCAGAACTAATCCTAATGAGCAATTACTTTTTGATGCAAAAGATTGTCATCAGTGGCTTAGGGGTAAACCTTGAAAGCCAACAGGCAAGTCTGTGTAACTGGAGCCTTTCCTGTATACGTTTAGTTTTTTACTTAAAGACATTATTTCTGCATTGTTTGTTTGAGGGTTTGGGTGGGTTTTTTGTTTATGGAGGTTTTTTTTTAAAAACACGCTTGTAAATATTAAATGTTTTGAAAAGAGCTCTTTTCCCTTTTTGGCAGTGTTTTTCCTAAATTTCTGAATCTGGCTGAAGGGTTCTACCACGGCTGTCATTTTTTTAAAGGAATGTTCAAATTAAAAATCCTATTGTACAAAAAAACCTTGCATTTTTCTTCTGTGCATTAGAACAATTTCAGAGCCATAATGAATGAGTTTTGTGTAACTTTATGAAGAAAATTACTCTCTCCAGCTTTTCACCAGAGTCTTTACCACACGATGCCTTTAAAAAAACAAACCAAAAAAACCCCTTGGTTTCAGGATGAATGGCAGTTGAGGAAAACAAGTAAATTAACTTTGGATGTATAGATAGCAGAAAGTATAGCACTAGCTTAATAGTGCTTTGGGACTTGAGCAATGTTTTCATGCTCAGTGTTATACTGTCTTTTATCCTGTATCCCAAAATCATGCATTCTTTAATCAACTTTTAGTATTTTCAGTTTTAAATATGTAGTATATTCTGCCATCTGGTGGCTCTTTCTTTGAACTGCAGCAGATAGCTGATGGTATATCCAGTTTGGGTTTTTTGTAGCAGCTGTGAAGGATGTTCCAGAGTTCTGTGATTTGGTCATTCTTTCTCCTTTGATTATGTGGTACAAAAAAAACCCATTTTCACACACTTCCATGCCTGTATTCTCTACAGCCTCAGATAGTTCTGGGTGGTACCGCACAAACAACAGCATTAGGAACAGCGACAGCAGTACAGAGTGGAACTCCTCAGAGAACTGTGCAAGGAGCAACAGCAACCTCCACTGCTGCCACAGTAAGATCATGGTTACAAGCTCAAACTGCACATGTGTTTAAAATCCTGTGCTACTGTATTCCTTATACACCTTTTGTACAACCATGTAAGTAAATTAACATGATCAGAATAAGGAACAAATCAAGACTGATTTCCCTAGTAGTATTGGTTTTGGTGGAAATGAATGAAATTTGGTAGGAAAAATATAATTTAGGATACATGTAAGCAAATAAGATCTGAATTTTGACTGACACACTTTCTTGGGTTGGTAATTATAGTATATAGGACTCTTTCTTTTCTGAAACACTTTGACTGCCCTCTGGAACATTGGCAAATCACTTGTCCAACATTTTATTCAGTTTCCTAATAGGACTAGAACTCAATTACCGTTTCAAAATATATATCAAATATCTTCAAGATAGGCAGTGAATGATGGCATAAGAGGAAGAATCCAGGTGGAGTGCCTTTTGTTCTTTAGGAAGATAACCATCAATACTACTTGCTTTTAATATATCGTATGAAATCTAAGTATGAGGTTAAATGGTACAGGGTTGACTTCCATTCCCCAAATATTTTGTGTACACCAGCTTCATGCATCACTGCAAATTAGTATGTTTTAATAATAGAAATATACAATATTTGATTGTGACACACCTGTAAACCTTCTGTCAATTTTATTATGTACTTCACACTATATGGGATGTAAAATCTTAGGTAATAGTCTGTGTGTTGTGGTGTTGCAGAAGAAAGATCTAAGGAGTCAGAGGGACTCGTACCTCACAGACCACAACCAAGTCATAAGCCAAGGGAGTTCTTTCTTAGACAGCAATATATCATTTTAACTGGATTGATGTGGTCTTTTTATCTGTTGCTTCATTTTGGGCTTCCAACTTTACCCATGTAGCTTTGTCACATTTGCTAAAAGGCAGATGAAAGCAACACACTTGCTCTGTGACAAGCCATCTTTCAGAATTTACAGCTTTTCTTTAGAAGCAACTTTTGGCTCACTTGGCCACTTTGGAAGCACCCTACCTTTGAAAATATACTTGTGTGGTGCTTCCCGTCCCTGTTGTCCTAAATAGAAAAGTCCCCAAGTCACTTTGAAACCCGAACTTCCCACATGGTAGAACTTTTTAATAGGAGTAAAATATCTACTTTTTAAAACCATCAGGTAAAGGAGCATGTCTGGTAAACTTCCAACTGAAGAGGCACATCTTGCTTCACTTTCCTAACTTTCTTTTCCCTCCCTCTTTCCCCTCCCCAATAGGAAACTATGGAGAATGTGAAGAAATGCAAGAATTTTCTATCTACATTAATAAAACTGGCTTCATCTGGAAAACAGTCTTCAGAGACTACAGCTAATGTGAAAGAGCTAGTACAAAACTTGTTGGTAAGAAAAACTAATTAAAACTACTGATACATCAAGATGCTGGCTAAATTTAATTAATAAGATTAAGTTTTATGAAAAATAGGATATTTTAAAACCTATGATAAGTAGATATTTTGCATGTTGTTTTCCTTATGGATTAAAAATGACATTTTTAAAACCCAGCATTTTCTTATAGTGTTTGCAATGCAGATATCATACCATTGTACTAAAATGTGCAGCTTATTAGCCTGATGTCATGAGATGAGTGGAATGCAAAAAGAATGCAGTATGAATGGTGAATATTAGAATTTAAGAATCTTCATTTCAAAAAGTTTTACTGATCTACAGAGTCATTAACAAGTATAAGGATTTTTAATTAGAGTCCATCAGTATGCTCTATTTGAGGATGAAAATTCACAATATTTTATGTATAAATGTATTTTTGGACAAAAATATTACATACCAGTATTAAAAAATGTTGTTTTTAGTATTTGTAGAGTACCTGACAAAATGAATTTTAAAACAGGGTGTACTTTTTTTGTGTCAAAGGAAAGTTGTGTGTTAGGATCTTTTGATAAAACTTTCAAGTAATGTTGCAATTCAGTTTCCATTGTATAAATCAATCAGAGTTGTGGATTTTTTTGATTTTGCCTACTTCAGTTACTGTCTCTGAGACTGATATAAATTGTTTTTCACAAGTGGATTGTACAGAACCAATATGCCCCTACCTTTGAAAATAGGGGCTACTTTTGATGAATAAAAAAATAGCAAGGCCCCATGGAACGAACAACTAATTGTTAATAAATTAGTGGACCTTTTGAATTAAATGTGATCCTTATGTATAACGTTAACTCATTTGGTAAACTTGAATATCTGTTTTGTTTCCTAGGATGGAAAAATTGAAGCAGAAGACTTTACCAGTAGGCTGTACCGAGAACTTAATTCTTCACCGCAACCTTATCTTGTGCCTTTCCTGAAGGTAACTCTTATGCCCCTTGCTCTTTTATTATTTTTCATTGCTTACTTATCTGAGCAGTAGCACATCAGTTAATAAGATACCCTTCCAGAAGAGTATGCGTGCATGTTTTAAATGTTACCAGATCAGATTTTATAAAAGATCCTTTAAAAACACACACACACACACACACACACACACACACACACACACACACACACACACACACACACACACACACACACACACACACACATTTTGCTTCCAAGTCTCCTGAGATTTTTTCCCCCGAATGTTTTATTAACTGTACTAAATGAGCACAGGTTCCACTCTAGTAGCTAAATTGGTTTAATAAGAGATCTGGAATACAAATATTATTTTCAGTGATCAAAGCCATTTATCTGCAAAACTCTTCAAGCAATTGGCACCTTAGTTTGCACTCTTGGCAGGTAGACCAAGGATTGAATGGCATGGAGACTGAGATGTTCTCTCATTCCTAGAAGTGATCTCAGAAGAACAGGCTTGAAGCACTTTGAGCAGTATGGGAAAACTTGCACAGTTGATGCCTATGCTGTTTTATGGATAAACAGTAAATTTTATTTTCTGGGGCTGTCTATCTGGGGCATCTCATAAGTACTTACAGTATCATGATGATTCTTTGTTGGACCCAAAAGTATGTTAGCACCTTGCAAAACAAATAGAATGTCACTATACTTGCCCCAAAGAATTGGCAATCTAAAATTACACTAAATACAACAAGCAAAACTACAGAAATAGGATGCTTGGAAGGACAAGGAGCACACAATAAAAATGTTTGACTGTATAAATGCTTAAGGGGGCAGAGAGAAAGTTGCATGTGCAACCTTCCCTTTGGCATTTCCTGTCTCTTAAGGCTGCATAGCGATGCACTTATAATTGTTGTTACAGCCTTTTCTTGCCTTTGATATTTAAGGAAATCTCTGATCTGTGGAGCAAATGGAAAACTGTGGTTTAGGATTCAGAAATCTTCAAGCATTAGTATACTGTGATGCTTCCTGGGAGAGGAGACATACTGAGATGTAACAACCTGCTCAGTACTAGATACCTCATTGTGGCCAGACATGGTGTCACAGCTCTCTCATTGGGCTAATGCCCCCTGCCAGTCATTGTTCTGGTTCTATAGCAGTTTCTCTCCCAATGACTCAGCCCTCTGGCTGGGTCACCATCTTTAGTTTATCCCTTTTGGGGCACCGCTGTTGAGACTTTTTTAAACTTTGAATACAAAACAGGTTCTTCTGCCCTCCCTGGGACTGTTTCTCAGTCTCTTTGAGGTTCAGCCTGTAGCCCTTTCAGCTGAAGTTGGTAAGGAAACCCATTCCCACTTTGGACACCGAGTTCCAGCTCTAGGTGCTATTTTGAGCAGTGAAAGCTGCTTTTTTGCCCATGTTGAGGTTTTTCCTGGGCCACTTCCTACCTTGCGGCTTCTTGCTTTTTATGTGTGTCTATCAGTGTCAGTGTTCGACAAATACCTTTGATGTCGAAACCCGCGCGTCCAGACTACCTGATCAGCTGTTTGTCGGCTCAGCGCGGCAGCCATGTAAATTTAAATGAAGCGGTGATTATTTAAATCGCCGCTTCATTTTCCTATGTCTGGTAGCCTAATCTACATACCTCTGGCGACAGAGACATGTAGTCTAGACATACCCTAAATGTGATCCTGGCAATTGCAGAACAGTAAGTCTAATGTCAGTACCAGGCAAATTAGTTGAAACTAGGGAAGTTAAATATCGGTTAATTGAATAGTCGATTTACCTTATGAATTCTTATTGGTTACTCAACTATTCTGTAGTCCCTGGGGGTGGGACTGGCAGCCAGTGCAATTCAGCCCCACTCTTGAGGAGCCCCTTGCCACTTCGCTCCTCTGTATCAGAGGCAGCAGCGTTGGGTTGCTTGGCGGGAGCTGGTCTGTGAAGGGAGCCAGTTTAAAACCAGCTCCTCTTGTGGACTGCCTGCCTGTTGCCCCATGCTGTTGATACAGTGGCAGCAGCGTGGAGTGGCAGCAGCCCCTGTCCCGGGGGGAAGGGCTGAGCTCTTGGACCCGGTGTGAACCAACGCTGAGATGGGCTAGCTGCCTGCGTGGCTCCTAATACACTTTAAATGCAGAGCCACAGCAGGGGTAGGTCCCGTACCCAGTGCAAGCCAGAACTGAGCCATGCTGCTGGCCAGCCTGCTAAAATATTTACTGGAGGGGTGTATGGGGGGAAATTAATGAAGTCTATAGCATTAACCTATAAGCTTTTGCTAATCAGTTAAATGACTACTGTTACATCCCTAGTTGAAACTATAGTTAAGAATAGAATTGTCAGACCTGTAGATGAACCTAATCTGTTGGTGAAAAGTCAACATGGATTCTGTAAAGGGAAATCATGCCTTACTAATCTACTCAAGATCTTTTAAGGGGTCAACAAGCATGCGGACAAGGGGATCCAGTATATATCGTGTACTTAGTTTTCCAGAAAGCCTTTGATAAGGTCCCTCACCAAAGGCTCTTAAGTAAAGCTAGTTGACATGGGATAAGAGGGAAGGTCCTCTCATGGACTGATAACTGATTAAAAGACAGGAAAAAAAGGATGGGAATAAATGGATGGTTTTCAGAAATGAGAGAGGTAACTCGTGGTGTCCTCCAAGGGTCCATACTGGGACCAATCTTGTTCAACCTATTTATACATGATCTGGAGAAAGGGGTAAAAGTGAGGTGGCAAAATTTGCAGATGGTAATCAACAGCTCAAGATAGTTAAGAACAAAGCAGACTGTGAAGAGTTTCAAAAGGATCTCACCAAACTAAGTGATTGGGCAACAAAATGGCAAATGAAATTTAATGTTGATAAATGCAAATTAATGCACATTCAAAAAAAAAAAATCCCAACTATATATACAAAATGATGGGGGATACTTTAGCTACAAATACTCGAGAGAGATCTTGGCGACACTGTGGGTAGTTGTTTGAAAATATCCATGCAATGTACAGCAGCAGTCAAAAAAGCTCTTTGTTAGCACTTGGTTTAGTATGCTAATAGACTTCCGTTGTGAAATACACAGTGGTCCACCAAAGACATGTGTCCTATTTCTTGTTTAGAGAATTTTATCTTGGGTTAGGATAATGTTGAACGGTCTCCATTTAACTTCAAGGCCTAGAGAACATAAGTTTCAGCATGCACATGTGACTTCTCACATTTCCATGTATACATCTTGCAGTGATTATGATGACCTATATGACACAGGCTCTTTTTAGATCTTACATAACATTTTCTTCATGAACCCAAGGGATTCTTTTACCCATGTCTTCTGCTAGATTACTAGAGAAGCCCTTGGGTCGCACAATATTATGTTTTAATTGTAAAACCAGACTGAAAATTTTTGACAGCTTGAGACAAATGCACTTATCCATTTTTTTTTTAAATTTTAAAAAACAATAGCTACATGATTCCTGTTGGAGCTCCATGATATAGGAGTTTTGTACTCAGCAAAATTTTAACTTATCAAGAATTCACCATAGTTATGTGACAATATGTTCGTTCTTTCTCTCTTCTCCAGAGGAGTTTACCTGCCTTGAGACAGTTAACCCCAGACTCAGCAGCTTTTATTCAGCAAAGTCAACAGCAGCAGCCCACAACGCAAGCAACAACTGCGCTGACAGCAGTGATGCTGAGCAGCTCAGTTCAGCGCACAGCAGGAAAGGCCACTGCCACTGTAACAAGTACTCTCCAGCAGCCTGTAATTAGTCTAACTCAGCCTACGCAAGTTGGGGTTGGCAAACAAGGGCAACCTACACCACTGGTACGTAAACCAAAGTGCATCATCTATTACTGCACTGTTTTGGCTTTTGAAGTATAATGACTTTCCCTCTTAAATTAACACTTTAGCTCAGCTAGAGACCTTTTTATGAACACTTAAAGAAGGTAGTAACTGCTAAGAAAATAATGTATTTTAAATACAGCAGTGATTAAAGTCCTCTATCATTTTCTAACTTTAAAAAATAAAAAATAAGCCTATTCTTTCAATCAATGCCTAAAATCTGGGTCAATATTTGTTTAAAACAGTTCTAAGAATACACGACCTTTCTATGCATGTGTAACAATATAAAATTGTATCTTTTTAAATCTAGGTTACACAATTTGTGGCCTTTTTTTGAAGGAATGCAGATCATTTGGTAGCTTATATTAATTGGAGAAGGGAAAGTATATTAATACTCGATTTGTTGAAGAGCAACACAAATTATTAAAGGTCTAGAAAACATGAGCTATGAAGCAAGGCTGAAGGAATTGGGCTTGTTTAGTTTGGAAAAGAGAAGACTGAGAGGGGACATGATAGCGGTTTTCAGGTATCTAAAAGGGTGTCACAGGGAGAAGGGGGGAAAATTGTTCTCCTTGACCTCTGATGACAGGACAAGAAGCAATGGGCTTAAATTGCAGTAAGGGAGGTTTAGGTTGGCATTAGGAAAAACTGTCAGGGTGGTTAAACACTGGAATAAATTGCCTAGGGAGGTTATGGAAATTCCATCACTGGAGATATTTAAGAGCAGGTTAGACAGACATCTATCAGGGATGATCCAGACCATGCTCGGCCCTGCCTTGAGGGCAGGGGACTGGACTTGATCTCTCAAAGGCTCTTCCAGTTTTAGTATTCTGTGATCGTGTGATTGCATTTAACAAGAAATCTTTATACTACAGAATTGGTTCCTTTCTAAAGAACTTGATCAACATAATGCAGTTGATCAGACTGCCACATGTCCATGTTCAACTTTGAGTTGTCCATAGAAAATACAAAAGCATTCACATCTGTTTTGGGTAATTACATGGCATTTATCACCCCACTGTGGCTATAGCGAGAAAATATTAATTTTGCCATAGGTCTGTAATGTAGACAAGTACTACTATTTCCATAGTGGAGAAGTGAGGCACAGAGCATATGTCTACATAGCCTATTAGTTTGTCTTCCAGTCTGGTTTGACAGACTCTGGCCTTGTGATAGTGCTTTAAAAATATCTGTGTAGCTAGCACTTTGAAGTTGTGGACTAGGCTGGTGCTTGGGCTCTAAGATGCAACTTTGAAGTGCTGTCTACACCGCTCTATTTATGGTGCTACCATGAGCTCCATTAGCCTAAGTTTGTCAAATTGGCCTGGGAGACGTCTGGGATGTAAGCGAGTAGTTGAGTAGTCGAATACCTGATAAGCAGGTACTGGGGTTCCCCTGCTTATCAGTTAGTCAATGGAAAAGCCATCGACTAGTCAAATTTAGTTTAGTCAACTAATCAACATTCCTATCCTCCCCTTGCCCACTTGCTGCCTCTGATAGATACAGAGCAGTGATCTCCAACCTTTTTAAGCATGAGATCACTTTTTTGAATTTAAGTGCAATCCAGGATCTACCTCAAACCCAAATCCCCATGCCCAACCTCCTTCGTGCCCCTTCCTCAAGGCCTCACCCCTGTTCACTCTATCCTCCTTCTCTCCCCCATCCTTCTTCCCTTTCACAAGTCTGAGGCAGAGGGTTGGGGTGCAAGCTTTGTTCTTAGGTTTAGGGATTTCGAGTGTGAGGGGCTCTGAGCTGAGCCTGGGGCAGGGAGTTGGGGCAGAAGGACTGAGCAATCCCAGCTCATGTCAAGTCCAGGAGCTACCCCTGCTGTGGCTCTGCAGTTTAATGTAGCAAGAGCAGCATGTGCAGTCAGCTGGCCCCTACTACATTTAAACTACAGAGGCACAGGGGTAGCTCCCGGACCCAGTGTGAATTGATAAAAATGTTACTGACTACATGATTAGTGGATTACTCACCTCTCAATGTCCTTAGGAGGCACATTCCCATGTGCTATGTAAACGTACCCAAGGAGATTGAGATCACACAAGACGCTTAGTGGCAGAGCAAGAATCTGAAGTTTCCAGACCTGTCCTCAACATTAATCATGAAACTGTGCTAACTCTTTGCATTGTTTTCTGGAATGCACATACAGATAAATATTAGTGAAAACAGAATAGGAAGAAATAGTCTGATGTTGAATTGCTTGTCCTTAAGGCAGCAAAGTATTGTTCTGTATTTATGGTTGCTTTTCCAGATGGATTGTTAGATTTCTTTTTATAGGTCACTTATATTTAGTAGTGTATTGGCCAGTATTGATTTCTGCTTAGAATATACTTCTGTCCAGAATTTGAGAGATGGAGGTTTGGGGAATTGTAATACTGGTCCCCTTTTTGTATGAAGGCATTGTTTCATTATTTCCTTAGACAAATGAATTCATCCTGTTTCAGTACAGGACACTGGACTCGATGACTTCTCAAAGTCTCTTTTGAGGCCTTCTTTTTTGATTCTCTAAGATCTATCTGCACAGTCTGAGAAAATATAATGGAAATTAGGCATAATCAGTTTTCTTACTTTAATAGGACACTGAGGCCATGTCTGCACTATGTGGAAGATTGGCTCTGCCACAGTGGATCTTCTGGGGTTCGATTTAGTGGGTCTAGTGAAGACCTACAATTTAAACTGAGAGGTGCTAGTACTCCTGCTCATCACTCCTGCTCATCATAGTGGGTCTAGTGAAGACCTACAATTTAAACTGAGAGGGCGCCCCCTGTTGGTGCTAGTACTCCTGCTCATCACAAGGAGTAAGGGAAGCTGACAGGAGTGTGTGCTCCCATCTAAGGATGTTAAGGACTAGTTGACTATCTAATAAGCAAATGCTTACAGGATAGTCAGTCAATTTCTACCCCCTACCCCCGTCCGCTGCCTCTATCAGATAGGTCCAGGTTGCTATGTGTGATATCAGTCTTCTCAGAATCAGAGCTCATGATAGGAAACAGACGCTTACTGCATGTGCCCAGAGTCCTGGACCTTATGCTGAAATGTCAGCTCACTTACTGCTGGCTTGGCGTGGAAAGGTGTTCTCCTGTGGAGAATAGGGCAGGCTGCCCCAGAATCCTCCTGGGAAGGATGAAAGGGTACCTTTTGAGAGCTTTGTAGAGATGTACAGGGAGGATCCTACTCAGTCACTAAACATGTTAACAAACTTTTCCAGGGAGCCCCTGCTGTGTAGGCAGGGTGGCTGCCACTGTACCCCAATTACATTTACCCGTTGTAGCATGATTACAAATGTGAATGCACCAGAAATGCCTTCCCTGCCATCAGGGCCTGGCAGCAATATGTCCTAGAAGGAGGGGATTGGCTCCAAAGGTAGAAAAATGTCCTGCCTGTTGATGAGATTGGCTCCTCCACATGCCTTCTGATCATTCTTATTGTTGCCCAAGGCTACCTGAAGAGTTGCTTGGGAGGTATCCACAGTTTTGGGATTCTGGTTGGCATTTTGGGACACTGGCCCCCCTCTAGAATCCCATGCAGCCGCTCATAGAAGCGGCATGTTTGTAGCTCTGACACAGACCAACCATTTACTATTTCTTCTAGTACTCTTGCCTGAGCTCACTTATTTTCATGCAGCATTGCTGGTTGTCCCTGGTGTATCCTTTTTCCACCACACATCTATTGACCAATCTAAAAATTAGCATAAGGATTTGGTTTATCCATCTGACTTTAACATCTTGTGTATTGTTTCTCAAGTAGTTTAATTTTATTCTTAACCTATTGGCAGGTTATCCAACAGTCTCAAAAAGCAGGGGCATTGATAAGGCCTCCACAGGTAACATTGACACAGACCCCTATGGTAGCGTTGCGGCAACCACATAATCGTATTATGCTTACAACTCCTCAACAAATTCAGCTGAACCAACTTCAGACAGGTAAGAAAAGATTTTTGATATTCTTGAATAGTATACTAATTTTTTTAAAGTAGATCTTTCATTTGCTTCTAAAACAGGATTGATACTTTACTTGGGACTGCATGTAGCTGAAAGATTTTTATTTTTCTATAATTAATAATACTTAATATTATGTACACATTGTATCAGTAGGTCTCCGAGGGTTTGATGAAGTAGGGTTCGGTATCATAATCTTTTTTTTTTTTTTTTTTTTAATTAAGGGAGATTGCCTATCTCCTAAAACTGGAAAGGACCTTGAAAGGTCATTGAGTCCAGTCCCCTGCCTACACAGTAGGACCAAGTACCATCCCTGATGAATTTTTGCCCCAAATTCCTAAATGGCCTCCACAAGGATTGAACTCACAACCCTGGGTTTAGCAGGCCAATGCTCAAACCACTGAGCTATCTCCCCCCCCCATTTTAAAGCTGAGGATACTGAGAGACACAATTGAAATAATCTTCAAAAAGTCATCTAATAGTCCAGTGTCAGAGTTAGGACTAGAACTCAGGCCTCTTAAGTCCTAATGTAGTGCACTATCTACTAGGCCAGTGTTTCACAATGACTGGTCTATGGATTGGCATCTGTCCCTGAGGACTCCCTGACTCAGTTTAGGAAAGCAGCAAGCTGGTTCCCTATATGAAAATGGTTGAGAGAGACTGCACTAGGTAACAGTGCTTGTATTGCTGCACCTGTCATTGTATCATTCAGAACCAAATTCTTTCCTTGAATATATGTAAATCTTCTATCAAGTTCAGAAGAAGTTGATAGCAAATTCTGACTCTGAATGCATTTATCTGCTTGTTAACCTGAGTGTAGTTACAGAATAAAACTAGAAGTTAGCAAAGATCCTGTTTCTTAGTTTTGCATAAGGCAGTATAGTAAATTCATGTTGTCATAGCTAGTGTATTTTATGTAACAACTGACCCTCTTCTTTATGTGAAGCAGTGTTGCCCAGTCTTCTTACCCAGGAGGACCACAGAAATCTAATCTCAATCTTGTGTGGACCAAACAGATTTTACATATTTTATCATGATGTAGTGTCACTTGTATTAATTTTATATTTTAAGTACCGTTTGTTTTGTCTGTGCATGTAAACAGTCTATGTACATACTTTTGTAAACTAAAATGATGTAAACAGGACTACAAAGTGCTGAGGAGTTGGCTGTTAGCATATTGTATTGAAGTAGGTTTCTGGCTTTATGAAATACTCTGGTGGACCATGCATGGTCATAGGATAGCTTCTCTGACATAAAGAATTATTATTAGTAGAAATAGGGCTGATGGAAGTTGAGTTTCTTGTGTGAGCATCAGTTTAAATGTCTGAACTGAATACTTCTAGACTTTCATGCATGCTCAGGGTGGCTACACTTCAAGAGTGTTTTAAATTCAGTGAAAATCTTTGGGAAAGAAGAGTAACTAAAACATCACAAACATCATATCACTGCTGCCATTTTTAAAAACACCTTTGTGCGAAAGCTGAAAATGAACCTATCCAAAAATAGTTTATAAAATGTTGGGCTAACATGTGAAGAGAATACAAATATTGACTTTATTTTCTTGCAGTACCTGTGGTAAAACCAACAGTATTACCTGGAAACAAAGCTCTGTCCACTGTTTCAGCACAAGCAGCTGCTGCTCAAAAGAATAAACTGAAAGAACCTGGGGGAGGTTCTTTCAGGTAAGGAACCAAAATCCTTGTTTCTGTACAGAGTGAGTCTTGTATCGGGCCCTGAAACCATTAGGAGGCTTTCCATTTCTTTCTGTGATGTGTAGTACGCAGTATGAGCAACAGGCTAAGGAATTATATGTATGGTGAGATGGATGGTGCAGTTAAGGAAGCGGTCAGGATTTACTGCCAAGGTGTCCTCGCAGGCCTCTGGCTCTGTTGATGATGATAACCATAAGGCTGTTTGCTTGCCTGTGTGCTTTCTGATGTTGGCTGTGTCAACTTGTGCACTTAGTCTCCACAGCAGACTGCAAGAGAACCTCCAAAGACCACAAAGCAGATAAGGATCGAAGGTGCCAGGCCAGGTTTATCATTAAGCAAAGTACAGTAAGAGTTGTCAGTAAACTCTACTGAACCACTACGCATATGTACCCCATAACAATTGAATTACTCAATCAGTGGGAAATTTCTACTGTCCCTTAGGTCATACAAAGACTGTCCCACTAAGACACCACTTTATATACAGGTACAACAAATCACACATCACCGCTGACGTATCAGGATGCCACCCTCTGACGTTGTCAGGTTACCACCCTCTGACACTACTTAGATACCACCCATCGCCCTGTACCTCGTGGTTTGATTAGATCATCTCTATCCATCATGCTGTTATTTTAGACCCTTTCCTGAACCTGGGTCTGTATCTGTGAGGAGTGGGTACCAAGGTCTTTTTTTTTAATGAGCTAGTGGTATCATGTGCTTTCCACTTATGACCATGACCAATTACTGTTCTACCCCATGGCCTAGTCTCCATTAGTGTTTTATATTCTGAGCCCTGTTCATGCCAAGTTCTGTGAGCAGGGACCTGCCTCTTGCTCACAGCTTAGCTTTGCTTTGTTAGCCATGTTTTGTCCATTGTTAGCTAGGCCTCAGGCCTCAAACCAGGCCTGTGCTATATTGGCTTATGTTTTAGGCCTTCATCTTACTACAGATGGGTAAAGAATAATTCCAAAGGATACGTTAATTTTAAGTTTGATTTCATTAAGCAGAAAGAAAATGGGGTCTTCTAAAAGTCAGATTTTATTTTGTGGATTAGTAGAATTGATTGGGCCTACATATGGACAATTGAAGAGCTTTTAAGTCAGTCACTTATGCAGCAGAGTTGTGGAACTTGTGTTCTACACAATTGCACTAAGCAGTATTTCTGTACATGCCCTAAATATGTTGTAACGATTTTTCTCTTAAGGGATGATGATGATATTAATGATGTGGCGTCAATGGCTGGGGTCAACCTATCAGAAGAGAGTGCCCGGATTTTGGCAACAAATTCTGAGTTAGTGGGCACATTAACAAGGTCCTGTAAAGACGAAACGTTCCTGCTTCCAGCATCTTTGCAAAGAAGGATACTAGAAATAGGTATATTGAGACAGAATTTAATTGTTATAAACTCTAGTTTCACTAGATCTGTTTTCTTTAAAATGGGCTTAAAAATAATTAAATATACCAGAATAGTTTTATATATTTGCACCTTCTGACATTCATTTGCAACATCCAGAACCTTAATATTAGAAACAATATAACATACGTTTGAGAAGCTCCAAAAACTGCAGATCTAGGATAGGTGTAGTTTGTTTTTTATTTAACAATAAATATATCACTAGAGCTGATTGGAAAACCTTGTGTTGAATATTTTATACTATAAGTTGATCAAACTACTACAATAAATATTGGGAGTGGGAAACTAATATTTGATCAGCTATATAATAATTCACGCTAATTATAAATTACTTACACTATCATTACTCTTATTTACTCTCTAAGTTATAGAATATAATAATTCACGCTAATTATAAATTACTTACTTCTATAACTTAGAGAGTAAATAGAGTAATGATAGTGTATCATAAAACTTGTTATTTTTGTTTCACTAATACTTCATAGCATACTGGTAAAAGAGCTGTGGCATATTTCATAACGTTTATGAAAATGTAGTAGAGTGAAATCTTCTCTAAAGCATCACATGTTAAATCTTGGCTGAGGAAACACCTCAATAAAGGCTGCTCTTTTTTGTTTTTGAATTGCTTACAAATTTGTGAAGTTGGATTAGCAACAGTCAGTTTTGTAAAATCTGTCTTTTCAATCAAGTGGAACTAAAAGCTTCATTTCAATTTTAACTACAGGTAAAAAACATGGAATAACGGAAATCCATCCCGATGTAGTTAGTTATGTATCACATGCAACACAACAAAGGTTACAAAACCTTGTAGAAAAAGTATCGGAGACTGCCCAACAAAAGAATATTTCTTATAAGGTAATTTCAATTTTAATTGTGCAAATGAGTGTTCCACAAATTTATGCTTTCACCTCATGGTAAACTCACTCAGATCTTCTTGTGGACTGTACTGAAACTTGGGACAGATTGTGCAGAGCTTTTCTAACCTCCAGAACAAGGGTGTGTCCAGCCAAATGCTGTAAACAGTAGTATTTTTGAGTGCCCATCCTTGTCTGACTTGGATGACTGAAACTTTTCACACAAAGGTTATCTATTAAAGTTCCTTTTGAAGAAATCATGTATACTATAGTGTATAAAGTTTTAATGAGACGTAGCGTAATATAGAAAAAATTACAGTTTGAGTGTCTGTTAGGCCTCTGTATCAGAGGCAGCAGCACAGGCTGCCAGGCGGGAGCTGGTCCATGAGGGGAGCCCGTTTAAAAACCAGCTGATACAGAGGCAGCAGCGCAGGGTGGCAGCAGCCCCTGTCCAGGTGTGGGGCTGAGCTCCTGGACCCAGCACAAGTTGGAACTAATCTGGGCTGCCTGTCCACCAGGTTTCCAATACACTTTAAATGCAGAGCCATAGCGGGGGTAGATCCTGGACCCAGCATGAACTAGGACTGAGCTGGCTGTTAGCCAGCCTGCTAAAGTGGGGAATGTGTGTAGTCTATAGTATTAACCTATAAGCTTTTGCTTATTGTTTAATCGACTACACTATTACATCCTTAGTCTATACCAGTCACCATCTGTGTCCCATGCTCTAGAAGCTAGCTTCCAGAAACCTCTTCCACACTGGATGCCAATTGCGTGTTGCAAAAAAGCTCAGTTTATCAATTCCTCCGTCTTTTCAAATTATGATCCTTTTGTCGTGCCCCTCCCTTGTCATATGAATATGCATAATTTGAAAATGTTTTATGCAAAACATATCATGTAACATCAATTTTATAGTTGCAATCTGCTGGATCTGTATATCCTGTTTTTGTGCATGTATCATTCTTGTATGTGAAGTTAGAAATATGAAGTTTGGATCTGTTGATAGTTTTAAATGTGTTAATGAGGGCCATTATTGATGCCTCAGAAACTTAATGACTCCTCTGCTCAGCTTGACAATCTGTGAACAGCCTTGTTTGTTGTGTAAGCCCAAACAGTAGCTAGTTCTGGTACCGGAATCCATTTTGAACCTGGTAATTTTCTATGGCTACTCAAAACAAAGAATTCCATCCCTGGGGGAAAGTCTAGTTTAGCAATGGGAAGCAATCAGCTCTTTGTCTTCAAGTGGCTTTTGAAAGTGCTTGGCATACCCTAAGAGGACATTTTCTATTAATTTGAATTTAGTAATTTACTTTGATCTTACTGTTTTCACCCTCAACCACTTAAATCCTACTTTTTATACTTAATACAAATTCTTTTCTCTATTATCAATCCCAGTGTAAATAAGGAGGAGGAAGGTGGCCGGCAGAAGCAATCACTATACCTATCTCTCATTCATTTATAAAGGGAACTAACGTATGAGCTTTCCCTCTGTAAAACTTATACCGAGAAAGATTAATTTATTTGGAGTTTTGATCCTGTTTGGGAGTTGGTTTCCTGCATGCTGAGCCCTTAGGACTGACTCCTCCCTGGGCTGAAGTGGTTCCATGTCTGAATTGCTCTGCAAGGGGGTGGTAACCCCAACTCTGTGCCTTGTTTATGGGAGACCAGAGGATCTGGTCCATCAGGACAGGCTAGTAGGGAGTCCCTGAGAGCAAGAAGACGAGCATCAGTGGCATGATCGGTACACTGGGGAACAATCCCCATCATACCTTTATCCTTGATATTCTAACCAGCCAGGTCTCTAAGATGCTTTGAGGAATATGTGGGGGGGAACCCATTGGATACCTTTGTGATTTTGCCCAGGAGGGAAACCTTCTTCCTCTCCTGCCATCTCCCCATAACAAACCAAAAACCCCGTAAAGCAATCCTGGAAGTCTAGCTCTTGCATCTAGAATATCCTTTAAAGTAAGTCCGATAGAGCAGCATCTTGAGGCACTAAACTTTGTAGATCTAGCCTGGAAGGACTGTGATGGAACCATTCTGTTCCATTGCTTTACCCTCGTTGTCCTATAAGCAGCCAAGGGAGGTGAATATTTCTGTTTGTTCCCTCCCACCTCTACTCATGCATTTGCTCCCGATGCATTTTATGTGGGAAGGTGCTTAGAGCCAAATGAACATCCTTTTTTGCCTGTCTCCTGCTGGTCTGATCAACATCCTTCACCTGTCACCGCTGCAATGTGGTTGGGAGTAGAAATAGTTTGTAATTCTCCATAGGAGGCAGACTGTTATCAGATGGATGTGAATTCTGGGTATGATTCATGGAAGAACTGATAGAACACTGTGCCTCACAGAGCACAATTAAAAAGGATTCTCTGTGAAATGTGTTTGAAAAGCCAAATGTATGTGATAATATTACTTAAGTCAAAACCTCATGAGACCACACAACAGTACAGAGTGCTTGTTTTGTTTTTTTTAAAATGGGTTTTAGCCAGTTTGACTGGTTTTAAAGATAAACTTGGTGTTTGAAAAAGACTAAGTGAGCATTTGAGCTTAAAAGCATGAGATCTTATTAAGCTGCGCAGTACAAGCTACTAGCTTTGTTTTTAAGATTTGTAATGAAAAGCATTTTTACCACATTTTCAGGATGATGAAAGATATGAGCAAGCAAGTGATGTTCGGGCACAGCTCAAGTTCTTTGAACAACTTGATCAAATAGAAAAACAGAGAAAAGATGAACAAGAAAGGGAAATCTTAATGCGCGCAGCAAAGGCAAGTGCTTGGATTTCACTTACATTTGCAAAGTGTCACTTTGACGTCAAAAGAGCAGGTTGCCTTTTATTCTATAAGACATGCAGTGAAAGAGAGAGCTGTGTTTTTAATCTCAGATATGGAGCTTGGGGAACACATACTTTAGTTAGAGCTCTGCTGTGTAAATGGTGTAATGTAGCCTCCTCTGCCACGTTTCATTCACACAAATCAAAATGGATTTTAATCTGAATTTTTATTTGCATTCCTCTGAGCAAAAGAGATGGACTTCTATAATGGTTTTTATAGCTCATTGGTCTTCCTTCGCTTTCTGCCTTACTTGGAGAAAAGAATATAGGCAGTCCCCGACTTACGCGGATCCGACTTACGTCGGATCCGCACTTACGAACAGGGCTTTCTCGCCCCGGAGGTCGAGGTAGCGGATTGCTACCTGCGAGCTCCGGGGCGAGAGAGCCCCGTTCGTAAGCTGCTCCGATGCCCCTGGTCTGCTGGAGACCGTCTCCAGCAGACCAGGGGCACTGGGCGGGTTCCCGCGCTTCTGAGGCTTTGTCAGAGCAAAGCCTCAGAAGCGCGGGACCCCGCCGAGGCTGCGGCTTTGCTCGGGGGGGGTTCTGGTACCTTTCCATGTATTGAAGTTAGGATGACTGATCTGTAATTTCCCACATATTCTTTATTCTCTTTTTAAAAGTCAGGTCTTCTTCAGTCCTCTGGGGCCTCCAGGGTTCTCGAAGATAATTACTAATGGTTCCAAGTTTGCAAGTTTGCTTCAGTTAATATCTTATGTAACCAGGATGAATTTCATCAGGTACTACTAACTTGAATCTACCTAATTTATCACAATATTCTTTAATCTGTTATTTTCCTATTTTGTCTTGGGTTCTTCCCTCGTGTTGTGAATAATTGTATTAAATATCTGGTCACCATTAATCTTTTTAATGAAACCTGAAGCATAATAGGCATTAAACCTCCCAGACCTTCTTGATGTCATCAGATCTTCTTCCTCACTAAGCAGACTAACACTTTCTGATGTCTTCCTCATGCTCCTAACATTTTTAAAGATCTCTTCTTATTACTGCTTATACAGGCAGTCCCCGCAGTTACGAACGGGGCCCTTCCTCTCCCTGGTCTCCAGCAGACCACGGAGAGGAAGCAAAGCGGTGGAACACGCGGGCAGCGGACAGGGTTATCCGCTGCCCACGCGCTCCGCGGCTTGGCTCTGCTTTGCCCCCCCGTCTCCCTGGCGGTCAGTTTCAGCAGCGGCTGAATCTGGACGCCAGTTCCGACTTACATACAGATTCAACTTAAGAACAAACCTACAGTCCCTATCTTGTACGTAACCCGGGGACTGCCTGTAACTCAAGAGAATAAATTTTGAATTGGAGAAAGAATATCCTAGTTAATGGATATAGTAGGGAGTTGTTGACTTATATCCTGTTTTTTCTAATTCTTTAAGGAAGCAGTTACAATAGTTGCCTACATAAATTGGATAATTGCTAGTGCAAATGGCCAGTTAACAAATGACCAGTTGAATGGTTCAACTGGTTACCTGATTTACATGTGCAATTGTGGTACTTAAGTTCGTAATTAGATGGGCAATTGTATGTCAAAGGGGTAACATTTCACAAAGGTCATGGTCCTGTTTCCTTTTCACAGGCATAAATTTAATTTGTTTGTGCAAATACAATAAATCCTAAGCGCCAATCTGTGTAATTTGGGCCCCTCCACATATAGGTAGAGACAGAAATACTTGAGAATTGTTTGTGTCTACCAGGAGAGAGATCTTCTCTTTCTTTATGCATAGTTTCATAAAAGTAGAATTTTAATGAAAGCAACCTAATTATTTAAGGCAAATGCAAAATAGGAACTGTTTGTAACTGGATACTGATTCTGAATAAAGAAATGAAAACAAAGATTTCAGGTATCTAACTGAAATACTAGAACAGTGAACATAGTAATGATGTTTGGATTTTGGATAAATGAATTATTGAATGAATGGATAGCATATCTTCCATAACAGGTGCCTTATAAATCCACAAAAGCTGGGTGCCACAAGTGCGATGATCCATGAAGTATTATAGAGCCTTACATTAAGGGGAGAAATTCCAGATTTGGAAACCCAAAGCTAGATGTGTAAATCTATTTTTAGGTGTCCACAAACTGGTTTGAATTTTTGGAAATACTGAGCACCCTCTATTCCTATTAAAGTCAATGAAACAATTTCAAAAAGAAACTAAACTATAGTTTAGTGTCAACTTCTCTTACAATGTTGTTAATATCTGTACTTTTTCCTCCCAACACCATTTACCAATATACAGTCTCGGTCTAGACAAGAAGACCCAGAACAGCTTAGATTGAAACAGAAGGCCAAGGAGGTATGTGTACAGATGAGCATATCATTTAACAATCTAAATGTTGTTCTCAGAAAAACAGAAGGGAAAAAAATTAATTGTGACTGTTGTGAAAAACACAGATGCAGCAACAAGAGCTAGCACAAATGAGACAGAGGGATGCCAACTTAACTGCGTTAGCTGCAATTGGTCCCAGAAAGAAAAGAAAAGTGGATTCTCCAGGATCTGGATCAGGGACAGAGGTACAGTATAACTCTTGCATGCAAATATGCTGTGGTTTTGTTACTTTATCCTCTGTAACAGACTTTCCCTTTCATTATTCTCTTCCATTGTTGAAAGTTTTCTGAGCAGCAGAAATTATTTTAAAGTGCAGTAAGACTTTCACTTAATCCAAAGACTAGGACAGATGTTAGAACTGCTGCCATCAGCAGAACATAACTGAACACAATGGATCAGGCCCAAGGCAGGAAATTTTGGAAGTGCTAGCTTTGCAGCATGCTTCCTTCCCAATCCCAGCCCTGTTCAGCCTCCACAGAATTGGAGGAGGCAAACTGACAAGAAAAGGAGGTAGTGGTTGCTCTCTGCATGGTCTTTTTCCCTCTCTGCCAAAATATGGCTCTTCCATAGTAGAGTGGAATCCCCTGTAAGGGTTTTTGGGAGGAGCATCTTCCTGCAGTTACGTGTATGAGATTAGTTTTCCAGCAGGATACATGTTCCAGTGATGCAGAGGAGGGACCAGGAAGATAGTACAGTTGGTCATTTAGATACTCCATATAGGAAGCTGTCTTTAAGCCAGACGTTACTGTTACAATAATAAATACATACAGTAACCAAACTGTGGACTTTCTGTACTGCTCACCTTTTTGGATATGTCTTTGTGCTTCCCAGTTCAGGTAGGCAGGCATTTTAGCTCCACTGCCATTTTAGCATGCTAATTCCAGTACAGCCTGGGATGTGTATTTGGATTGCTAGTCCAGGCTGCCATCTGTTCCAGTCCTGTCTACATGGATACTTTTAGGGTGCTAGCTGGAGCAGAGCTAGTGTATGTCTGTCTACCCACATGGGAAAGTAGCTCTCCGTGTAAATGTACCCCTCTTTGAGTGCGAGTCCTTATGTGTATTCTGCTGTGGGTATGCATATGCTTTGATGTCCTTGGATCTGGACAATTTTGAAAGTCGTGGCCAGTGACTCTCACATGCACCCAGGTTCATCTCATGCATCCAACTAAGGAGATAAAGGGGCTGGGCAGACTGATCACTGCTGTAGGGTCTGGGTCAATCTGTAGCTTCAGCTTTCTCCTTTATCTGTGACTGTTTAGATATCTGTAAACCATTTTTATAGTTCTAGAGGGTTTATCTGATAGTTTGTGTTTTATAGTTAGTCTCCCCAACCTGGTACTGGCCTATGCCCTTAACTCCAGGTGTCAAAATTTGTGTTTCCTGTCCATGATCCTTCTCAGTCATTGACAACCATCAGTGTTGCTCATATTGCCTCAGGGAAGCCCACATTGTATCAAGGTGCAATATCTGCCATTGGTTCCTTATACCTGGGAAGGATGGATACTTTGCCTTAGGAAACAGCTAATGGAAAAGGCCATGAAGCTGCACTCACACCCAGGTTGGGGGCATCCTCCCTGCCCCCAATACATCAGTCTGACTCAACAAGGAGTGAATCTCCTGCTACAAGGTCGAACATGGGAGCTAAGGAATCTGCTTCCACAGATTGCTCTCTGCTCACCTGACACTCCTTGAACATTCTCAAAGCATGAGGACAAGCTTTCCTCCAGATCTACTTTGAAGAAGTTAGATTAAGCCCTACTTAAACCAAGCAAGTCTCAGCCCAGGAGACCCAAGTATATATTAAGTCTGAGGCATGATAAGAAAGCTTGCATGTCTAGGGTACCACTTATACTGGACTGCAATTCAGTGTCACCTAGTGCCTGTGGTACATTGCAAACTCTTGTATGTGCATCACCAAGAGCATCAGTTACTTGCAGTACTGTCTTTGTCTTCAGTGGCTTTGGCAAAACAATCTCTACTGCATCTCCAGCAGTTGAAGTGGAAAGGACCCCTCTCACTCCAGAAAGAGCAGACATCCATGTTCCTGGAGTCTCCCGCTCTACTTGGTCTCTTGACAAAGCCCTGGCTGGGTTGGATTTAGTTGGGATTGGGCAGGGAGCTGGACTCGATGACCTCCTGAGTTCTCTTCCAGCTCTCTGATTCTAAGTCCAACACTTTCCGAGTCCTATGTACCTTTTGTGGGTCATCAAGCACTCTTTCAATATCTGGAGTACAATAAAAATGGACAGGTAGTTGTTGAATTTCCTCCATTCTGGTTTATGATAAAGTTTACATTTCTGTCCCCTCTAAAATCTTATCATTACACGGGCTATGTCTACACTACAAAGAAAAGTTGGAAAAAGATACGCAAATTAAGCGCAATTTGCGTATCTTTTTCTGCTTTTCTTCTGAAAGAGGCTTTTTCAAAATTTGGCACATCTACATTGTGCCAAATTTCGGAAGAACCTGCTCTTTCAGCACATCCCTTTATTCCTCCAAAAAATTTTTTGGAAAAGCTGATGCGTTCCTTGGACGTGGCAGTGCTTTTCCAGACTACCTCTGGTATCCCAGAAAAGCGCTGTAGTCTAGACGTAGCCATGAGGAACACCTCCGCCATACAGTAAAAAGGCCTAATCAGAACCTTCCTTCCTATAAAAAGCCTGTTCTTCAGTGGAACTTGAACTTTGAACCTGGGAGGGGGCGTTGGGATACCAGAGGTATCCCAAAAAACCTCCAGCACCTCCAGGGAACGCATTTGCTCTTCTGCTTCTTTTTGCGGAAGAGCAAATGTGCTCTTTCGGAAGCCCTCGAGGAAGAAGGGGGCTTTTGAAAGAGGGTTTTTTTTTCCCTGAAATTTGGCCCAGTCTAGACTGGCCAAATTTCAGAAAAGCCTCTTCTGACAAAAGAATTGGAAAAAGATACGCAAAATGCAGAGTGCATTTTGCATATATTTTTCTGATAGATCCTCGCAGTCTAGCTGTGGCCTGCCCAACACCTTTATCTCCTGAGCCAGAGCATATGTACAGACCAATGGACTCTGCTTTCAAAATTCTCCACCTCTGTGTGCATGGGGTGTGTGCCTAAAGATAGGGGATCACACATCTTGAACTTCCAATTACTACAAGGTAACTGATTTCCTCTATTCTAGTGTTCTATGAGCTGTTAATGTCATTGAGACCACTGCTGTGCAAAAATGACTAAGCAAAGTAGTTTGAAATCATCACTGAATTAGGCACCAGGAACATCTATACAATTTGAAGATTTTCTAAATATTTATTTTGCCAATATTTTTCTTGCAATTTTGGACAAGCTCTATTTTTTGACATTAAGGGCATCCATTCAATCATTTTTTAAGTGAGTGTTAATTGTTCACTTGTATTTTCTGCTGGGCACTAGGTATTTACACAGGGAGCGGAAGTAGCTGAGGAGATTTACATTTTATTTTAAGTCAGCAGTATACTCCATTTTTTGTGTGTGCTCTCTGCTCTGGTGCATTTGCAGACTTGCTAATAAACAGGAAATAGAGTAAGTGTTTCCTGTTGAAAGTACAATTTCTGTAATGCTTAAAAGAATTTCAATTTCTTGGAGTACATGCAGTTCTAAGGGTTTGCTTTGTAATTTTTTACTGGTGGATGGCAAAGAGGTTGCTTTCCAACTGATAGATCATGGAACACTGTTAGCAGTATAGAAACATTTAAATATTTCTTCCTGTGTATCATTTTCTGTATTAAACATCCTGTATTTGTAAAATTGGCATGAAAATAAGACTTTTTTGTTTAAGTATAGTTCCTCTTGTGTGTTTTTTTTATTTAACTCTTGAAGTAATAATTCTGGCATGTGTTACTATGTTATAATGTGGACTTGGTTATGCAAATATAATAGTAAATTATATCTTGACACATGAAAGCATGCAAATAAAAGTTGCCCATTCTAGCTAGCATGCTAAGTATCTTTTAACATAACTATGAGTGTTCAGGGTCATTCTAATACACAGTTTAGGGAGAGAAGAATTTATATAAAAATCTAAGCCAATAAAGATATATGGGTCAATTATAACAAAACAACAGTAAAAATTGCAAGATGACCCACTCTTATCTAAGACTATAAAAATTAATATGCTCTGAGAAATATGTCAAGTAATTAAAACTTAGGATTCTTATGACATTCAGGAATAGTCTCTGTAGCTGTATGTGCCAGTGTTGGTATCATCCACTTTTCTACGTTCTTGACTGTGCCACCTTATTCTTTTAGTCAGAATACATCAAGCATTTACTGGGAATGCTTGATGTATTCTGACTAAATATGGCTAATTTAGTTGTCTCAGATTAATCAGTTACTAGTTAATCAATTAGCAACTGGTTCCCTTAGAAATCTAATCTTTTGTCTGATCAATTAAGAACCAGCTGCTTTTGATCTGATAGCTTTACAGCTGTGCCTTTGCTGTGTTTCACTTGGTTTTTAAATTGAGCTCCACTTGTCATCATTTGTATACAGTTTTGTAGTTAGGGCATATTACAAGAAGTGTGGAAAATAAGGTTTGTCACTACTTAGACACAGATTTGTAAATGTGAGCTTTTGATGTCAAAGGAATTCTGAATCTTAATTGCATGTAAAGTCACCTCTTTAGAATTCAGTAAAACAGATTGCAGTAATCTTAGGTATTTCATACATAACTAGTTCATTTAATTAATGAGTTAGCAAAAAAATCCTCTTAATGCCTCATATGCCACAAATCAGCTGTTTCTGGTCACACCTTTTATAGTGTGAAGCTCTCTATATTATGTAATACAGGTGTCATTTTCCTTTCCTTACTTCTTATAGTCCGGGCCTAAGCATTTCTGCAGCGGTCTGTTTTGGGTCTGATTCTGTTCAATATCTCTAATTATTTGGATGATAGCATAGAGAGTACAATTATTAAGTTTGCAGATGATACCAGGCTGGGAGGGATTACAACTGCTTTGGAGGATAGGGTCATACAGGCAGTCCCCGAGTTGCGCGGATCCGACTTATGTCGGATCCGTACTTACGAACGGGGCTTTTCTCGCTCCGGAGGACGCCGGCGGCGGGACCACCAGACGCACCGCGGTCCCGCCGTCCGCGTCCTCCGGGGCGAGAAATGCTGCTCCGCATCTCCCTGGTCTGCTGCCCCCCCCCCCCCCAACCCAGGGGGGGGGGGGGGGAGA